CGGCGGGAGCTGCGGCGTCCAAGGAGGCGGCGGGATGCGACGGCCACGCGATCCGCGACCCACACCCGCTGGCGACGCATCCCGACTCGCTCGTCTCAGACCTGGCGCGCGAGATCGAGGTGCTGCGCGAGGACCTGCTCTCGGCCAAGGCGCCCGAGGTCACCGAGCCCGGCATCATCCGGCAGGACACCGTCGTATGGCCCGACAATGTCACCTACGCCAACTTCTGGGACTACCTGCTGGTCCCCACGCTGGTCTACGAGCTCTCCTACCCGAGGACGACGACGTGAGTGAAATGACGGCCGAAGAACGTCCCAAGTAGAATGGCTGGCGAACTCCTCTGACCTCGCCTTGGCCTGCCGGGTGTAACCTGTCTCCATCCCCTATCGCGCACAGGATACGCCCGCTCTACGTGCTGGAAAAGATCCTGGCGACGTTTGGCACCTTCCTGGTCATTTACGTCATCACCGAGCACTGGATCATGCCCAACAGCCCGAGCCCGGACACGCCGCTGCTGCGCACCTTCCTGCAGCTGGCGGTGCCCATGATGGTCAACTACCTCCTCATCTTCTACCTCATCTTTGAGGGCGTCCTCGGCGGCTTTGCAGAGATCACGCGCTTCGCCGACCGCGAGTTCTACCAGGACTGGTGGAATGCCACATCGATGGACGTCTTCTCGCGGAAGTGGAACAAGGTGAGTGGGAGGAGGCTGGCTGCGACTTGATCTGGCGTTCCGACGGACGCCGGACGACTGGGCGGCCCTCAGTCGCTGCACGGCGCCCAAAGGGGCGTCGAGGTCGGCGGCGTCGGTCGGTGGTGACAACGCTGTGGGCGCAGGACGTCGGGCTCCGACGGCTGCTTCTGTTGCTGCTGCCGCTGCCGTATCGGCGCCACGACGGCGCACAGGAGATGGGAGACATCACGACGAGCGACGAGACGACAACTGACACCCCTCTGCTGCTCACTACTGCTCCTTGTGCTCACCCACCTTCCTGCGTTGCACCTCGCTTCGACCGGGTCGCCTGGCCCGGACCTGGCCCTTTCCAGCCCGTGCACTCTTTCCTGCTGCGCCACGTGTACGCCAGCACGATTGCGGCGTGGGGACTGTCGCGGACGTCGGCCATGTTTGTCACGTTCCTCTTCAGCTCGCTGGTCCACGAGCTGGTCATGGCCATTGTCAGCGGCAAGATCCGGCTCTACCTATTTTCGGCGCAGATGTCGCAGCTGCCGCTCATCCTCGTCTCGCAGGTGAGTTGGCGCGAAGAGGGAGCGACCGGACGTGCTTGCCGTGGCCTGCGCTGACGCCGACGATGACTTTGTTGGCCCACTGCTCTGCTCGCGACGGCAGATCCCCTTTGTCAAGCGCAACGAGGCGCTCGGCAACATGATCTTCTGGATCGGGCTCATGATGGGCTTCCCGTTGCTCAACATCGGCTACCTCGTCTACTGAGCGGAGGCGTCCGTCGGTCGAAGCCGGTGATGTAACGTCTCGGCGGCAGGGGACCGAGGCCGGGCCGGGGCGAAGCGACGAAGACGTACGTTTCGGAAGCACGCCGGCGCGGCCCGATGCCGACGACGGCGACGGCGACGGCGACAAAGGCGATGAAGATGACCGGCCCGCCGTCTGTCGTCTGTCCCGACGGATCGACACTGTCCCGCCGCTTTGTTTGTTTCTCTCTCTGCTGGTGACCGCCCTGCGTGTCTGATTGTTTGGTGCCGAGTGTTGTATAAGATCTGCAGCGGGGCTCGTCGATCCCATACCCCGACGACGCCCGCTTGCGTGGTGCCGCTGCGCCGTGCCATGCCGTGCCATGCCGTGCCTCGCCCTGCCCCCATCACCGCTCTCTGCCCTCGCCAGTGCAATGCTCAATCTGTGCCTGTTGCATCGTCGTCGCGTCCGCGCTGCGCTAGGGCGGGCGAGGGATGAGGAGGAAGGGAGGGGAAGGGGACCGGGTTGCCCGTCGGTGCAGGGGACGGGCGACGCTGCGTCTAGGCGGCGCGGGTGCGTGCTTGCGAGGGTCGAGCAAGAAAGGGAGGGCAGGCCCCCTTCTGCTTGATGTATGCTGGGTTCGCGGTTCTTTGGTCTCGGTCGTCCGTCCCCAGGCAGGCCCGGCAGGGTCGGCAAGGTACAGCATCAAGTCGAGACGACGCCAGGCGAGACGAGAGCGGCCCGGCTGAGATCCGACGTGCGCCTGCTGGTGCCTGCGTGGGTGTGGGCGGGCGTGGACGGGCGCTTCCACGTAACTACCAAGGCGTACCTGCGCGCCCTCGTCGGTCCTTGTCACGGCCACCGCAGGAAGAACGAGCGAGCATGTCGCCGACCACAGCTCGTCTCTGCACGGCCCGATACCGCTGTAGGAGAGCAGCAGCAGCGAGTACGTAACGGGCTCGGGAACGAGCACGGGTACAGGCGGACATGTACCGTCGCCGAAGCGCCTCGTACGTACGAAGCGTCGCGTTGCTTCGCCCTCCGCCCCTTGCGACGATATCCGTCCGCTGCAGGTCGATGACCGACCGACGGACTCCGGACCGTGACCCTGCTCCTCGACGTGATCAAGGACATGTTGCAGAATCTCTTGATCAAATTTTGACTGGCTGCCACACCGAGCGACCACCTACAATCGCATGGAAGACATGGCGAGGTACGGAACGGAGGCGATCAGTTCCAGAGTGCGAGTTAGATGCTTGCTTGCTTGCTTGCTTGCTTGATTGCCTGCTCGATTGCCGCCTGGCTTCGGCCAGGTCCGACGACACGGCCTGCTGGCATCTGGCATCTGTTTCAGCAGCAGCAGCAGGGCGGGCGGGGCAGGCAGGGCGTCAAATTGGGTTTCATGCCTGCCTGCAAGTTCTCCCGCCGCCTGTCTCGACCTCGACCTCGACCTCGACTTCGACTTCGACATGGCCGACCTTTGTGCTGTTCTGTCTTGCTCGTTGGTCGTTAGCGATGGGACGAAGGGACCGGTCGGAGCCCAAGCGTGCGTTGGGCACTCCTACCTCTTCTATACGCAGGCAGAGGGGGTTACAGACGGAACGAACCCGAATCGCAGCGCTACACGTCCTCGGAAGGCCCGAGTGTTCGGCTGACCCGACTCAGCTGGGACCTACATACGTACAGCAAGCTAGCAAGCTGAGCTGCGGGCTTTGTTTGTACAGACGTGCGGTTGGACCTGCTTCATTCGCCGGCCCGGCCCGGTCTCGCTTCGCCTCGCCTGGCCAAGGTGAGAGTAGTCGATCTGTTCCGAAACGTGTGCGTCGTTCGGTGCGCACTGCTTACCCCAGCCAGCAGCAGCAGCAGCAGCAGCAGCAGCAGCAGCAGCAGCAGCAGCAGCGGGAGCAGCAGCAGCGGGAGCGGGACGGGGAACGATGCAGATCTACAGACCGATGTGCCGTCGAGGTCTGGCCCTCGCCCGCCTCCCTCGGCCCAGGGCAGCGTGCGGTCGCGCTTTGACAGATCTCCGCCAGCCCGGCAGACAGCAGGTTCAAGCAAGAAGCAAGCAGGGCGGTGAGCCGAGCGGACTCGGTTCGCTCGACGCCGCCGTCGGAACTTTTTTTCCTTCAGAGACGTGGCAGATCTCATCCGCCCAGAGCAGATCGAGTCTCGGGCCCAGACCGACTACTGACTACGACTAGCTCGACTGTGCAGACGCGCGATGCCCTGCGTACAGTGTGTGCGCCGTCGCGCAACGTGCCTGGTCTGACCTGGCCTTTGTGCGCGGGCGTACACGGCCGCCTAGGCAGGCCAAGCAGGCCAGGCACGCCGGCCGTCCGTCCCGTCACGGAGTTCATTTGGCTGCGCTGGTGGTTGGCGAGCGGTCCTTGCGCCGCGTGGACTGGGCACGGTAGTACGTGTAGGCGAGCCTGCCACGAGCTCCCGTAGGCTGGGTACGGTCAGAGGAGGACCGAGAGAGCAAAAGAGCAAAGGGATGCCTTAGTTACCTTGGTCGCTGCGCATCAAAGGGCCGCCCGTCCGCCCGCCCGCCCGCTTGCTTTGGCCGTTCCCATTGTTGCGCCGCGGTGCGTTCAGCTTCGTTCGTGCCCAACGAGCCTTGTTGCTGGCGCTGGTCTGCCTGTACGCCCAGCCAAGAAGAAAGCACGTCGGTGTTTCATTTCGAGCACCATGGTAGGGTTGACCGCGCCACTTTGTTGCCCACTCGCAGCGTCGACGGCCCGACAGCTGGTAGAGTATGGCAGCGGTAGGGATGTACGTATGCCAGATCGATGGTTTGGCCACCAGCGACCATCAGCGCCTATGTGAGTAGTCCAGTACATACATCGTATCTGTTCGCCTGCCGGTTGCGATTGGGGCGCCGCTCTGCCGTCAAAGGTGCTTTGGCGGAGGCAGCCGTATCGCATCATCCGCATGGGCTGGGTAGTTAGCAGCAGTCTTAGCTACACCTCTTCCGCACTACTCTGAACGCCAAGTCGCGGCCTTCGGAGGCGGGCCGGTCCGCCTGCCTGGCCGTTACCTTCCTACGTGGCTAGCCTAGCCACACATGGGCTGATGGCCGCCGACGAGCGTGATGCAGCAACGGCAGGCAGGCAGGCGAGTGCAGCGGCGTGGGTACATCACACGGTCAACGCCGGGATCGTCGTTGCTCGCAGCTTTGTAGCAGCAGCAGCAGCAGGTCGTAGAACGTATGTATGTACGTACTCTGGCCGTTTGCCCGTGGGTCCAGACGCCGGCGCTCCGCTCCGCCCGGCCAGGCTTTGCACCGATGCCAACGTGTCGCCAAGCTGGGCAGGGCAGAGCAGAGCAGGGCAGGGCAGAGTCGGACTGACAGCAGAGCAAGTCAGCCCTTCTCCCTCCCTTGCCTCTGCCCTGCCCGCCACCCTTCTCTGACCACGCCAGAGCTCTCGATCCCATCCATGCTGGTCTGGTCTGGTCTGGCTTGGCCTGGCCATCGCGTTGCCGCGATACAAAAGCAAGCCACCTCCTATGCTCATAACCCAACCTTGTTTCGAGGGCCCCCCTCTTCGCTATCCGCCTCCCTTTCATCGTCTTCCGGCCCGCGTCGCCCTCGGACCTCTCCAATCGCCAACCCCGCGCTCCGCCCCCAGACCATTCCCTTTGTCGCGCTCCTTCAAATCGACCACGCACCTAGATATCCCCTTTGTCAAGGCGACAAAGGTCATCCTCTCTCACGGCAAGCACCGATCCGCCTGACTGCCCGGCCCCGCCCTTTGCTGCCCTTTGCTGCCCGGCCTGCTCAACCCGAACCATTGAGGATTGCGCAAACCGTTATTTCATGTCCCTTTGACTCTTCCCCGCTCCCTCACCTGCCCCTTTGACGAGGGTCCGTCGAGGTATCCTCGCGCTGCAAGCCGATAGCTGCGACCACGGCCGTCCGAAGCTACCCATCCCGTCAAGACGACGTTGTGCTGCCTTAAGTAGCCACGTTGCGCCAGGCCGTGGCCAACTGCACCATGCCCGCAAGAACCCTCTCCACCACCGCCGTGGCCTTTCCCGCAGCCAGCGCGACAGCCAGCACCGCAAACGTCCCAACTTGCACCTGTGCCTGCTCTGCCAACCTCGCCGCCTCATCGTCCTCTTCCTCTTCGGTCCCGCCATCGCCCACCTCTACTCCCCTGCCATCCAGCCCGAAGGTGTTTGCCGTCGGCGCCTTCCGCAGACCACCGCGTGACCCCCGCCCCCCATCGATCGCCAGCAGAGGTTCCACGGACAGCCACCGGCCCTCCCTGTCTCCCGTTCACGAGCACTGGGCCGCGTCCTCATCACCGAAACCGACGACCAACATGTTTGGCAGCTCGACCACCATGATCGCGTCCGCCGCCGCCAGCGTCGAGGCCAGTCTGACAAGGAGCCGGTCCAAATCCACCGCCGCGTCCACCTCGAGCCTCCTCGCCCGGGGCCGCTCCCAGTCTACGGCAGGGCCCGCCGCCTCGACCGCGTCGTCAAGGGACCGTCGTAACTTCCGCCCGCTCCCCTATCAGACCCATGCCGAGCTGGATGGCTTCTTCGGCGTCTCGCCCGCCATGCAGCGCGACAGGCAGATGAGGTCCAAGGACGAAGACGGAAGGCTGTGGTACGACGCGACAGGTGAGTCACTGCGCTGGCTGCAGCGCCGAGCCACCTCGCCCATCCGACGAGGCCGTGTGCTGACGTACCGTCCGCTCCATGTCTGCCTCGACTCACGGTGCTTGCGATGCGATGATACAGAACGAGAAGAGTGGCGCCATCTCCTGGGTCCAGGGTCGCCGGCCACACCCTTCGTCGCGACGCCAGAATCCGCGCGCCGACGCAGCAGCGCTTGGAGCGCCAGCCCGTCGACGCAAGTCTCTCCGCTGGTCGAGGCAGGCACGAGCCTGACGCCGACGCTCGCCACCTTCAGCCTCGCCGATGCCGAGCAGCGCAAGCTGGAAGAGGCCATCGTGGCCGGCGCTGCAGCCGCCGACTGCCAATCGCGGCGCAACCGCCTCAAGCGCAGCAACAGCGCCACGATGCTTGCCAAGACGGTGCAGGATCGCCTGCCTTGCTGGACGGATCAGGACCAGCGATGCTGGATCGCAGCGGCTCCGTACAAGAGGCGAGGCAGCATCGGCGGCGACGACAACGATGACGACGCCGACGCCGACGCGGCGATGGACCAACGCGGGACAGTCGATCAGGACAGCGAAACGCCCATCCACATCGACCGCCTGCCGCTCGATAGGACCAGGACGACCAACGAGCTGCTCGACGACGCCTTCCCCGCCGTCATGGCGGGCCGCAGGGCCGGTTCCACGGATTCGAGCGGCCAAGGCGGCCTTGTCCGTCCTCGTCGGCCTCATCCCCTCTCGCTCGGATCGACGAGTGCCGCTCCGTCTCGAGCGGCCCTGCCGAACCGACGATACTCGTCGCACGGCGAGCGGACGCCTTCGACCGCCTCGCCCACGTCGTCTTCGTCGTCGACATCGCACCGCCGCTGCAACTCGTCGCCGCAGACCCCTTCGCCCACATTCGTCGAGCCCGCCGATGTCCGCTTTGCGCGATTCAAGAGGCCGACGACTGCGACTGCCGCGGTGACGACGACGAATCTCGTGGCGCCGTCCAACAGCCAGGGCCGACGGCGTCGCCGCAACACATTCGGCGCGTTGATAGACGAGGACGGCGACGAGCAGGGCGAGGGCGAACCCCCACGCACGTCAGTCTCGCTCGCCTCGAACACGTCATCGTCGTCGTCGAAGCAGCTCGAGGTGCTCGCCTCGCCGCTGCCCTCTGACGTCGGCGAAGAGGAAAAGGACAGGAGCCGTCGTCGAATGGGAGGCTGCCCGGGCCCTGACCGACGCTGCGTCGACACCCCACGGACGGGCGAGCGGCTACCGAAGCCAACCGCCGACGGCACCGACGGCGAGAGGGGCAGGGTCGATCCGCTCGTGGCTGCTGCCGCGGCTGCGGCTGCGGCTGCGGCTGCTTCTCCAGCCCTGAGTCCGACCTGGGTGCACCGCGGGGGATCTATCGAGATGGCCCGCCGTCGCAACCCGTCGATCTCGTCGATACCCTCGGCTGCTCCAGCGCATACCTTGCCTCGGCCGGCGTCGCGCGCCAGCATCAAGACGACTGGCAGCGGCGGCCATCTGGCGCGCACCCCTCGGCCGACGACGAGCACCAGTTCGCTGTCTTCGTCGAGCTTCTCCTCGCTCAACAGCCAGTACGGCCGCGGCAGCAGCGCGGCCAGCGCCGCAAGGAGGCGTGGGCGGAACGGGCGGGGGCGGGCTGACGCCGCGGCAGGCGCCACCGTCGTCATAGCCCCCTCGCCGCCTCCC